TTAAAGATTTTATTTATTTATTTGACAGAGAGAGACACAGCGAGAGAGGGAACACAAGCAGGGGGAGTGGGAGAGGGAGAAGCAGGCTTCCCGCGGAGTAGGGAACCCGATACGGGGCTTGATCCCAGGACCCCAGGATCATGACCTGAGCTGAAGGCAGACGCCCAACCGACTGAGCCACCCAGGCGTCCCAATTCAGCTTGATTTTAAACAAAATTAAAATTCAGTCCTTCAGTAGCACTAGCCTCAGTTCAAGGGCTCACCTGCCACCGATGGCCAGGGGTAGCCCCGATACAGAACATTTCCACCACTGCAGAAAGTTCTACAGAACAGCATTGTTCTGGAGTGAAGCAGAAAACAATTTTATGTGCATTTTTAAGGCAAAACATAAGATTTCAAAAAGGTCTCACCCATCAAGTGATGCCTCCAGATCTTCAAGGGACGAGCCTGCCCGTGGAATGGGTCCTAAATGTGGGCTACTCTGTACCTCCACCCCAGGTTCTGCACGTCTCCCCGCTCTAGTACTAACCAGCGGACTTGCAGGAAATCAACTGCTAACAGACTCTTTAACTTGCTGTCATCCTCACCTGTAATTCCCATGAAACTGCATTACAGGTTGGATGTGCTAAGTATTTTTCCTACTTTACATTAAACACATAACTATTGCAACTGAAATAAAAAGCATCTGTCCCAGGGCACCTGGGTGGCTCCGTCGGTCAAGCGTCCAACTCCTGATTTCAGCTCAGGTCCTGATCTCCGGGTCTTGGGATGGAGCCCCACATCGGGTTCTGTGCTCCGCAGGGAGTCTGCTTCTCTCCCTCTGCCCCACCCCCTGCTTGCATTTCTCTCTCTCTCTCCGAAATCAATAAACCTTAAAAAAATGTTTTAAGAGCATCTGTCTTATATTGCCTCATGTCCCCCTTCTGTCCCTTCCCAAGCAAACCGCTGAATGTCCCATCCAGGGACCGAATCCTATGGCTTCTACTGCATTGACGTCTGGGCATCGTAGAAGCCACAGTACCTGGCCCGTGTGTGGGCTGGGGGCAGCTCATCAGGGGCAAATCTAAGGCCATGGGTGCGAAGCTGGGAGAAGGGGCAGATGGCAAAGTCGCCGGCTGGGAAAGAGCCCGTGGACCAGGCGGCGGGCCAGGTGCGGAGGTGAGGAGCTCCCATGAGAATGTGCTGAGTGGGCAGAAGGGTGGGTCTGGGGTGGGCAGCACTCAGGAAAGCCAAAGAGATCAGCCAGCGTCGGAGAAGATCAGGAATAGGGACTGGATTTGAGGGCTGGAGAAGCAGGAAAGAAAAGGGCAAGAAGGGGCGGTCAGAAGTGCTGGGGGCTTTGTGCAGTAGGGACCCAAAGGCAAGGGCCTGGACAGGAGGCCCCGTGGAGGTGGCAGAAGCCCTGGGAGAGCCTGGAAGTGGGCTCAGAGCCCCGAAGGGCAGACACACGGCCCCTGGCCCTAACGGTGCAGCTGCTCCTGGCTCAGAGCCACCTGAACTGTGCTTTGCGTGCTGCTCATTTAATGGGAGGCAGCAGGATGGAGCAGGGGACCAGGCACTGTACTGGGTATCAAAACCACCCCAATTCATTCTGTGATACTACTGACCTCAGTTTCCCCACCAGGGATGAGGACTGCAGCTCTATACATGTCCACAGAGTCAAATGCAGGCCTCCACCTGGAAGGCCCTTTCCTCCACCTTCTTACCTACTCCTCTCATTCTTGAGGTCTCAACTTAAACCTCACCACTTTCAGGAAGCCCTCCCAGCCTTCCCCTCCCTTCCCATGCCCCCCAAGCTCAGGTTCTCTAGCTGCCAACGTGCCCCAGGCTTTTCCTCCTCTTCATCACCTTAGATTGTAGCTATTAGCTTAGCTGCTCCTCCCCCTGACCATGAGCTCACGGAGGGCAGAGCCTATGACTCCTTCAGGGCTGTGCTCCCCAAGCTGAGGACGGGCCTGGTGTGGAGCTGCTACTTGCTATCCGAGTAGATGAATGAATGAAAACGAGCTGCTGTCGTGTTGAGTGCGAGGCTCTGGGGGATGTCCTGAGGGAGGCAGGTGTCTGGCAGAGAATCCCAAGTAGTGCGGGAACTCAGGACAGGAGGGAGAGCCAGAGGGGAGATGTGATAGAGCCACTGTGTCCTTAGTGTCTCCCACCCTGGGCTGGGGTTTCCTGAGGACCCTGATGAGGGAAGCGTGCTCAGGGGATTGCTTCCAGGATGAGGCAGGGACCCATGAGCAAGGCCAAGGAGGACTCAGTCTTGGAATCTTTAAATCTCTAAGGGGCCAATCCGGGACAAGGGAGCAGAGGAGGTCTGTAGGGCCTCAGGGACAGAGCCACGGCAGGTGGCTGAAAGAGACGCTGACTCTGGCTCACCATGCAGAACGGTCTTCTAGGAGCCAAGAAGCAAAGGGGAAAGGGGCTGCTTTGGGAAGAGTGAACTCCTGCCACTGGGTGAACATTCGAGGACCCAATGTGGGGGGTGACCAGACACAACCCTTCAGGTCCCTTCCAGCCTGGGAGTGCCGGACAACAGAAGGATGGCCTGGCCATCCCCAGCATCCGGGGCCACAACCTAGGGGAGAGCTGCCCTCGTCCCCCGGGCATCATTTCCATCGGGCCCTGACCACTGGGGAGTTCTGGGCTTCAGAACAAACACTTCAACGCTCTCAAGGGCTTTGACTGAGCCTTGGTAGAAGAGATGGGGCAGCCAAAGGAGGTGCTCTGAAGGATGTTAATTGGCCTGCCAGCGAAAACAACAAAGGTTCTAAAGTGCATTTTGGAAACACTGGGTTCAGGAAGTCAAATCAGTTCCTTTGCTGCAGGACTCCCCAGAGCCTCGGGTATCTTAATGTGCCCTGTGAAGCTTCATGTGAGGGAGGGTGTATGCAGCATTTCCCAAACTTTTCCTTTTTTCCTGGGACAACCTGCGACATCTCACTTAACTAGTGACTCGTTGAACAGTTGGGGAGATGCTGGTAGAAAGGAAGAGCCCTTGGCCAGAAGACATGAGGCGTAGCTCCCGCCACTCCTCTGCTAGAAACCTACCATGGGAGTTTGGGCAAGTTTCCCTCTTCTGGGCCTCAGTCTCCCCATCTGTGAAATGTACAAGCAACCTAGTGTGAGTGCTCCCGAAAGCAAAAGCCCTATAAAGGGTGACAAACTGGTGTTGCTTCTTTGTTCCTAAACCGCTGAGAAGATGATGATGGGCTAGACCAAAGCTAAACGGTTTCCATTCCTCCCAGACAAAGGCAGAAGGAGGAAAGCAGAGATCTTCGTATGAGGGAGGATGAGAGAGGATTCTGAATGCTGAGGGGAGAAAGCAGAGGCCACAGCCTGGGAAGAGGAGGCAGTGGCGGCTGGGGGAAGTGGCTAGAGCGTTTAGAGAAGTCCTCAAGTTCTCAGATGATGGTGGAGGGCAAGTAGTCTTGGAGGCTGGAGTCCTTGTGGGCAGGGGGCTGGAAGGGGTGGGGGCGAGGGCCAGCTTTGGCCTTGCGGACAGTGGAACGTGGACGTTGTAGGTGGGTTCCAGCTGCCTCCTGCCTAGACAAAAGACTTCAGCCCAACCTGTTGGTGTCCACCTACTTCCTCCAGAAGGCCGTTCCCGCCCAGCTCGGGGACAATGCTGTCCCTTCAGGCCCCCCGGGCGCCCTCACCTCCACCAGCGGGTAGGCGATCTCGTTGTAGATCTGCTCGGTGAAGTGGTCCATGTAGTAGGCGCCGTCGAAGGTGAACTGCTTGGGCGGCTCGTTGGCGGCGCCCGGGTTCTGGATGAAGCACTGGCCGCGCGCGGAGTCCACCGTCACCACAGGCTGGCAGTTCAGCTCCCGCTCCCGCTGGTTCATGGGGCGGCAGCGCACCACCACCTTCACCGACTCCGAGGCCATGGCGCTGCGGCGGGGGTCCCCAGGGCGCGGCCCGACGTGGGCGACGCGGCCGGGACACGGGACGGCCGAGCTTAGGGGGCGGGGC